ACGATAGCGACTCGAGCCACCGCGGGGGAGGTTACTATGGGGATGACTACGAAGACCGGTAAGTTGGAAATGCGGGTTGCTGATTACAGAGCTAGCTGCAAAATCTGAATTGAGCATAACTTGCAGTCGAACGGAATCACGATTATATAACTGGCGATATGACAGTATACAAGAGGAGGATCATGTCAAAGAAGACTATCACGATGATAAAGCGCTGCGCAATTGGCGAGATGAACCATCGAAAGAAGAAGATTGGCATCCGGAAGAGCAACAAATCATCGAGGAAGAAGACCATTCTGCTGCTGAAGGTTATCAGGCGGATCGAGAGGATTCTTCGAGGCAAAATAGTGTGGAGCGCAACGAAGCCGTCGCGCCACCTACTACAGACATCGCACAGTATGGTTTCGATTTCAAGTTTTGGTTATTTACTAAGAATAGGTGTAGGGTAAGTTAGAGTGAAAAGAGTGTTTATCGTCAAAAAATCGCAAAAATGTGCAAAACTTGGTGTCTTGATTTGTGGACTACTAGCAACTTTGGCTGTATCTCAGTTTGGTTAAGCAGATGATTTTCATTGTTTCTTTATCACCACAGAGTTTAGCCCTTAGTTTATTGCTTTCTTAGCCAAACAATCCAAGAAGAAGATGAGAAACGCACTCCTCATGAACTCTGGCATTGGGCATATAAACAAGTGTGCAAAAGTCTTGGCTACAAGGTGAGTGAGGTCATTATTCAAAACTTGGGAGATCACAGGTCGCTGCAAAGTTATAAAGAACTTGCTGTGATTTTCTGGCTTTTTAAAATTTAAAACAAACATATTCTGCTATCGAGACGGTATAAAAGTGATTTTTATTAATTTGTTCTATGGACCACCTTTACATTCACTGAATTGTGCTCTGTCCATGCTCGGCTGCTGTTGAATGTTGGCATTTGAAATAATTGCACTGGATTGTTTGAGCAATGAATCAAGGTTGTGATTAATCTTTGTTGGCTCATGTTAATTTCAGCGGTATCGCCTTCAATGTATAGGTAATCTGTCTAAGAACATCTCATGCTATCTTCTATGGCTCCAACTATACTGCCGAAAAGTTCACACAAGTCAAAAAGATCAGTAACAATCTTGGTCGACTGCTCATACAACTTCACTGCATTATCACCGTTATTAAAGGAATTTTAAAAAAATATAAGGGGCTCATTTCTAATGACTCAGCAACTTAAGCAAACCAATTCGTATTACGATGTTTCGATGGTGTAGGTGTATCCTGTAACGAGCGTCATCCACTGTTCGCGTGGAAACACTTTAGTGCATAAAAAATGATT